AAATTTCTTAAAAATAGTATTAAAATATTGTCTTGTTCTAGTGAACCAAGTATCTGTATTTTGTCTCATCTCGTGAGCTAAGTGTATTGTCACACCCCTAGTGTCGATAAGCGGTGATATAGCTCATAATTTTCCAAGTGTATGATATGGCTTTCATTCTTCAGGTCAACCATATATTCATGAAAAAAATCAGTTTGAATAAGGAAAGCGATAACTTTGCCATAGTATCCTTTCAAATGTTAAAGAAAGGACCCCCGCCCCACCCCTGGAAAAAAGTTCAGGCTCAGGATTTGTTTTTGTTTTAACCCTTGCTTTTTGCACTTTAATAAAGTATTTAATTTTCCAAAATACTCCACCAGTCACTTGACAGTAGTGAATATTGCATTTCTGTGGACAAAACACATCAGAAAAATAGTGGAGGACACAGAGTGAGCTGCTGCGGGAAAAGTGCATGACCCAAGTTATCAAAAACATGACAATACTTTATATTATGTAACAACACCAACCAATATTTGGGCTGCATCTGATAAAGTTTTTATATAAATGATTAAGATATACCCCCAAATTAGTCATGGTAGTCATGGCATGGTTAATTTTTTGTCCTTTGCTCTGGGTAAAAAAGACATTTGAAATGCATAATTGTGAACAAGCTGTTTGTTTTGGCCAGATTTTGTTGTAGTCAAGCGTCATCATCACAGCCGTTCTTTCTTTAATTTCACTTGAAGTATGTTGTGCCATTAGAGTTAATTGAAATCAGCATGCTAAAGATTTTAAAATAAAGTTTATACACTATTATTAGTCCTAGACTGATTTGACTTTGTTTCATTTATATGAACTATTACAGCTTTAGCAGTCTTTGCATTGCGTATTGTTGCGAAAAAACTTCAAGCATTTGCTTCTAAGCACAAAACTCCTGGCTGTTTGAGTGATTTGGGTGTGCCGTATGTGTGTAGATAACATTCACCCTTTACCCCAAACACTTTATTGACCCTGATAAAAGATGCAGGCTTATATTTGTCTTTCCATGCTATTAAATGCAAATGTGTGCATTTCTGAATTGCAGTGCGTGGTTATGTTTTTCTCTTTGTGTTTTGTGTGTTTTAGGCTAGGCTGCCCGGGCTTCACTCAGCCAGAATACAAACCCACACCTGTTGAAAAAGGGGTGTCCAAATCGCTCTTCTTCCCCGATGAGGCCATCAACAGACACCCTAGATTCAGGTGAGAGATCATGTGACCTGTCCAGATTAGTTTCAGTTCCTGAATCCAGGTGAACTCTCTCTGATTTCATGTTGAAATGGGCCGTCGTGAGTCCGGCGGTTTTGCGTTGCAGCTGAAAGTGTTTGAAGTGACGTGTAACGCAGAACAGTGTGAAGTTGTTTGCGTAAGCTAGAGCTCAGAGGCATTACAAGGGGATTATGGGGAGCCCAGTTCAGCAGACAATGATCGTTCACATACCAGTAGCCAAGAGCGTTTTACAAAGTGCTGCTCATCTGTAGAATTGTTGGTGGTCACTCATATTTACAGTAAGTGAAGGATTTCTGCAAACCTGCACTGTTTGTGCTGCAGACATGAATTGTTTATATTATGGAATCAAGTATGGATCCTTTAGGTAATGAATGCATCACTAACAGATCTCGTTTGTTGATGTATTACAGCACTCTGACCAGAAACATACGCCACCGGAGGGGTGAGAAGGTGGTGATAAATGTACCAAGTAAGTGTGTTGTGTTTTTTTTGTTTTTGTAAATGATTAACTTCTGTTTCTGTTGTTGAAAGTCAGTCTTTCTCTGGAAATAAAATGAACAGTGTATGTGGTTTCATTTGATCTACTCCTAATGTGAGTGAATGAGTTTATATTGATGACCCAGAAACTTGAGCACTACACAGTGATACACTGGAGATTTTCTCAACATACAGTTCAGTAACTCTTCATGTACGCTAAGCAGGTGCGACACGACGAGATTCTAAATGCGAACCTCTTATATAATGTGCAGTTACACTAGCGGTCATAACTTGGAATCATTAAGAAGTCTCTTATGCTCACCGAGGCTACTCTTATTTTGTCAAAAATGCACTAAAACACTGATATTGTGAAATATATTTTAAAATGTATTCCTTTTAATGATAAAGCTGAATTTTCAGCAGCCATTACTCTAGCCAGGTGTGTTTTTGCACATGGTTGCCATGTTGGGAAGATTAAGTAAACCACTGGACAGAAAATATATTGGTTCATGGGGGGAAAAAAAAGCTCTTTATTAGGGGAAATCTGGCAACCACAGCCATTAGAGCTTGTGGAGACTTACCAATGCAAGGTAATACCAAAGTAAAATGAGACGCTTTCAGGATAATTAACCAGGAGGTAGCCCAAGTATCGCAGACCATTATTCTTACTATATCAAGATAAGCAGAGATCATGATCACAATTAAAATATGATTCATTATGGAGCCCTATCTAAACTGACTTGAGCCAAATAATGACACTATTGTTTTTTTAAAGCTGCTTTACAGCAGAATCTGAACTGTCTCCATATTTGATTCTGTTATTTTCTTGTTAGTCACGGTGAAGCAGCTTTGACACAATCTGTATTGTATAAAGCTCTACAGTAATAAAGGTGACTTGACTCTGCTATATTGTTATCAATGTTGAAAACTGTTTTCCGTTCCTGTAGAACAGGATTTTGGTCAAATGAGATTTCACAGTGGGTGATATGCCGTAAAAGCAAAATCAAATGGCATGGAGAACGCCGCTGTTCATATTGCAGCAAGCTAGGAGAAAGATTTATGTGGAAGAAGGTGCTTTTATTGCTCAGTAGCACACTCTGCAACATGTCAAATCTGTGGTGCATGTGATTATTAAAAACCAAACCAAGATGTTTATTATATTTCTGCATGTTTTCAATTGCTTCTCTTTTGACTTGCATGTCCTTAACAGTTTTTAAAGATAAAAACACCCCGTCTCCTTTCGTGGAGACGTTCGCGGAGGACGATGGAGAAGCTGTCCGGGGAGCCCTGCCTGATCACATCTACATGGACGCCATGGGCTTTGGCATGGGAAACTGTTGCCTGCAGGTAAAAGTCTTTTCCTCCCAGAAACCTGACTGTTGTTGCCTCTCACTGATTTGCACTGAAGTGACGTTGGTTGACATTAGACCGATGTTGTCCGCCGCTATCATTGCAGGTGACCTTCCAGGCCTGCAGCATCAGTGAGGCGCGCTACCTTTACGACCAGCTGGCCACTTTCTGTCCCATAGTGGTAAGAGCACACGGCTTAGAGGAATTCTTACAACAGAACACGCTGTCCATGTGAAAAGGGTCCAAAAAAAGAAAGTAAACTTTGCTTCACAGAACAAATGACAATTAATCACTGCATGTTTATACTGTTAAATTAAGCAATAAGCCCCAAGAAGCCGTGGTTTACAGTGAATTTATAACAGCTAAGGGGAATAAAGTGTAATGGTATTAATAAAAACAGTATTCTTCCACCAAACAATGTAGTTCCTTAGAAACAGTTGTGGTTCCAACAAAGTAGTTGCCGAGCAACACACAGAAGTAAACAAAGGTGTGTGTTTGTAGAGTAATTTACAACAGCTTCGAGCGTGGCTCAACCAATCAGAATCAAGGACCGGAACTATCCGCTTTATAATAAATTGTATGTAGATGTGGGGAAAAGGTCACATGCTTTTATGCACGATGTGATTGCTTGTAAGAGGGAGATGTGTGGTACACTACCGCATTCAAGAAAATAAAAAACACTCAAATTACATTTTAAGATCCCAAACTTTTAAAGGGCGTCTTCTAACTTGACCTTAGTTGAAAATTGACCATCTTTACCACACACAAAGTACTATATAACCCACCCTCATCTTTTTCACATTCCTGTGTGGTTATCGGTTGCACAACCTTTTAAGATGCTTGTAGATGTTGCACTCAGAAGTTGTCTTTATTGCGGTTGGTGTTTGTGCAGATGGCTCTCAGCGCTGCCTCGCCGTTCTATCGGGGCTTCGTATCAGACATTGACTGCCGCTGGGGTGTGATCTCTGCGTCTGTGGATGACCGAACCCCAGAGGAGCGGGGCCTGGAGGTGACAACGGGATCCCGTCTTCACATTTTTCTGCTTTGGCTGGTGCTGGAGCCGTTGCTCGGATCTGGCCTGTGTTTCCACTGGCCGAAGAGCCAAATGTTACGACATAACCTGCACACAAACAAAAAAGATAAAAGTCATAGACCATATTCATAAGTAAATAGATTTCCTTAAGGACACAAGAGCTAATGAAAATTGACCTAGGCTGGGTTTCTTGCGCAATGTAAGGAGCAAATTTTGAAAAAAATAATGCAGTGTTTTTTGACTCAGATTCCTTCCACTAATCATATAAGAATTTTTAAATTATAGGCTGCATGATAATAAATGGATCCTCCCAATTCAGTAATGATTACAGACATCAGTCGTCCCAGACTTGTGAATCATACATGGAGTAACAGACAGCCTCTGTTAATCATTTTAAAAGAAAACTAATCCCATCTAATTGATGCTTTTGAGAACTTTTTTTTTTTCTATACCATCACTTTATATGTGACCTGTGCTGGCAAAATGAGTCTGATTGTGCACGTGGCAAATTTTGAGCTACAGGCAAAAAACTGAAAAACTTTGAGGTTTTCACAAAAATTAGTCCATTACGCCCTCGTCTAGTGATCCCAGTGCTCCAAATAATAATTAAACATCTAAAATGATCTTTATTTGTACGTTTTCTCCGCTCACTTCTCGCACTGACTCTCATCCAAAACGCGTGCATCCCGATAAAATTACACACACACAGAATTACAGTATTTAAGTATTCACGCAAACATAATCTTTGAGAAACTTTTTGGAAAAAACATCGGAAGTGTAACATTATATTAGATCCATGCAGTACAGGTCTTAATATATAGCCCGTCTGTCTCATTAATCATCTAACAATAAAGGAAAAGATCGCTGCTCTTGATTGAACAGCTTTTGTAGTTTTAATAATCAATGTATTTGTAATGAACACACTGAAGTGATTTTTACATTTGGTTATTTGTTTTACTTAATGCTTTTGTTTAGATGTAAAATGAAAAAAAAAATACAGTATACACTTGTTTCTTTCTTAATTTGTTCTTTTTCTTTTTTTACATCTGTTCTTATTTATTACAATAAAGAAAAAATAACAAAAATTGCTATATTGTGATTTATTAATATTAGTAAGGATCGTTAAGAAAAGAATTGGAGGAAAAGATGCAATGTTGCTAGGTGATTTTTCTTTGTGTAGCTCGTCATTTTTGTCCGATTCCAACAACTCGTATATCATTTTGAAGGTCTTTTAATTGAGAATGTAAAAAAAAATAAAAAATACAAATTTAGAAAATTTGCTCATTGTGACTCATTTTGCCAGCAAAGGTCACATATATGTCTGATGTTATTTAAATATGTAAAAGGAAAAAGAAAAACCTCATCGCACTCAGTTTTGATCATAAATAATGAAATAGCTTAAGTACAAATGTTTACTGTCAAATGACAATAAAATATGCGTGTATAATAATTAACGAGGCTGTCGGTAGATCTGACTTCTGATGTCAAGAGTTATCAGCCAAGGCCAGTGCTCTCAGAATAGACCAACATATCGGCCAAGCTGATTAATCAGCGGATGTTTGGATATCACTAGTTTTTGAAGTTGAGCATGTCACGCTGCATGGCATTTGTCACATCATGTCGACTGCCCATGTTCTTGTGCGTTTCATAGACATGGTTAAAAATGAATTCTGTCTCTGCAGCCGCTGAAAAACAACAAATTCCGGATCCATAAATCACGCTATGATTCGATTGACAGCTACCTCTCCTGCTGCGGTGAGAAATACAATGACATTGAGCTGACCATCAATGAAGATATCAACAAGCAGCTCCTAGATGCAGGTAAAGAAACAAGCACTGGACACGTCCAAACTGTCTTTGTCCTCTTGTCAAAAGACGCTGCGACCCCACTGTAGACAGCATCGTTGCTTATAATGGGTTCTGTTTGCTTTTGATGCGACACTGCGCTCGCACGCGGTGTAGAGAATCATTGAAGCAGGCCTCCTGTCAGCTCTGTGTGCAGTATTTTCAAGCGCGCTGTACTGCTCTGTTGCAGGCATTGACAGACTGCTGGCACAGCACATTGCGCATCTCTTCATCCGCGACCCGCTGTCGCTCTTCCAGGAGAAGATTAATTTGGATGATGAGAACGAATCGGACCACTTTGAGGTGAAGTTAACATCTGATTTTTATTGTTCTAGCAAATAGAAAATTGATCAGCAGAAACAAAAACAACAAAAAAGAAATGTCAGTGTTAGACCAGTTTTCACTCACTTTGGTTAAAATTGCATGCGTGTTGCAGAACCTTCAGTCAACCAACTGGCAGACAATGAGGTTCAAAAAATTGACCCTTTTGACTGGTTTTGTGCTCCAGGGTCACATATATGCAGTCATTTGACTTGTGCTTCATGTTTCTCATGTCTTTTGTGTTTGTTTTTTTTCTTCTTAACAGGTTCAACTGACAGATTTTGAAAACTCAGCTTATGTCGTGTTTATCGTTCTCCTCACCCGTGTGATCTTATCCTATAAGTTGGATTTCCTCATTCCATTGTCAAAGGTTGGTTTACTCTTTGTGTGTGTTTTGACCTATTTTAACTCTTCGTTACACAGCTAAAAAACGGGAAGATATTAAATGGCAAAAAACTGGACATTCTTAAAACTAAGACAACCGCCACGAATTATACATGTGTGTGCATGACATTTGTGTTTCTGTTCATTAAAGCACTGCATGCAACTTTTTGCAACTTCAATGTGTTTTGTTTTCAGGGCTTAAAGTTCTCTGGCACCGTGCCGGATCTCCGGCGTGCAGCGTTTGACTGCGAAAAAAAAAAACCCTACATTTAAAAAAAATTGTTTATCACTTTCGAGTCCAAGAGTTCGCCTACCAATGATATGAGAGGAGCACAGCTTTCACTCTCAACCAAACTAACATTACAAGCCAATCAGAATGTTTTGCTCTTATAAACACAAGACGCGCATCCAATTGCAGAGTCGCAGCCCTGCTGAATGGAGAAGCGCGACAAAAAGCTGCTATGTCCATCTAGCGCATATTTACATAGAAAAACTAATTAAAAAGCAGCGGAGCTTTGTAAACAGCTCAAAGTAATCATGTTATCTCCATAAGAACTATATGATTGCCAGAACCAATTTACCGGAAAGGTAAATGAAAAGGTCCTGTTATCGGATGGAGAGTCGAGTTCCGTCCAATGGAGGTATTAAACAAACGGCCGTCTGCCCGCTGTCTGTCTGTGTGCCAAATGATGCAAGCAGACGCGGCTTGACTGGATGTGTGCTTAACAAAGCAGACGTCAGTACTCGGCCACCTACAGTTTATTCAAGCACAACACGCAAAACTCACAGAATACGCACACACCGTATAATGTGAATTTTATCTAATATAATGTAACTCACGTAATTATAAAATACAACATGGACTAAATGTGGACAGGTTTGATTTGATTTTCATAAGTGACCCTGGAGCACAAAAGCAGTCTTAAGTCGCTGGGGTATATTGTATCAATAGCCAAAAATACATTTTATGGGTCAAAAATATCAGTTTTTCTTTTATGCCAAAAATCATTAGGATATTAAGTAAAGACCATGTTCCAAGAGTTCGCCTACCAATGATATGAGAGGAGCACAGCTTTCACTCTCAACCAAACTAACATTACAAGCCAATCAGAATGTTTTGCTCTTATAAACACAAGACGCGCATCCAATTGCAGAGTCGCAGCCCTGCTGAATGGAGAAGCGCGACAAAAAGCTGCTATGTCCATCTAGCGCATATTTACATAGAAAAACTAATTAAAAAGCAGCGGAGCTTTGTAAACAGCTCAAAGTAATCATGTTATCTCCATAAGAACTATATGATTGCCAGAACCAATTTACCGGAAAGGTAAATGAAAAGGTCCTGTTCACACATGATCTATTAATGGTAACTTACCGGTAATTTACCAGTAAAGACTGTATGTGTGAAAGGGGCTAAACTCTTCCTCT